TTAGGCCTAGGCTATAAAATTTTAATTCTGCTCTTCCCACTCACGAAAGAGCATCCAACTATGTTATATCAAACAGTAGCGGTGAAAGAACTACATCTTGTCGTAGGCCTTAGCGTCCACTTCCGCTTTTCGGTCTGTGTTCCAACTAATAACATATTTCAGCATTATGTATACATAGTTCCAAATACAAGGATAAGTCGGGGATCCTGTGGCTGTCGTTGTGAGTGTTCGAATAGAGGGTATCCTGGTAGTGCTCAAAAGCTTTCTGTAATCTACAAACAAGATGTGCTTTCCTTGTTATATTCTCGTGTTTCTCGAAAAAATTTGTTTTAAGATGAAGAATTGTCTGTGTACGACCTTCCTTGACGAAAGCCACTCTGTTCTTCCATCAACATTGTTTCGCAATTTTTCTTAGTCTAGTGCGTCACAATTTTTGAATAATATCTTATAAGCAATGTTTAGAAGACTTGTTACCTCTGTAGTGTCACATATTGATCGGTCTCCCTTTTTGAAAAATAGGTAGCACTCGGCGAGTTACCATGTCGGTTGCCGTATTTTTCTTCTATTCCAGATAGTTGAAAAATTGAGAGCCTTATTTTTAAAATTCTTCGGTGGCACATGTAAGAGCAATTTCTATGCCTTTATCATCACTGCCACTAGCTTTTCTACTCTCATTTACTTAGTTGCCTCTATATTCTCTCCTTTCTATCTTGCATCTACGCTGTCTTCAATGAATTTCATTTTTGTTCTCCTTCTTATTATTATCCTGGGCATTCTTATTTGTCCATAAGTTCTTGTAGTAAGAAAGCCATCATCTGGCTTAATTATTTGTATATCTTCCTATGTCCTTCTCTTGTCTGTTAAGGTGTCTCATAATTTTATATGCTGTTTTCTGCCGTCCATGTATGTCATTTTCGATATACGATGTTTTAGTTACGGAGACATATACTAGTCAGGTATTGTCGGAAAGCTCTCGGATGACAATGGGTTTGTCTAAATGGATCCCCACAAACAGAGCAGAAATGAAGAAATATTTTCGGTTTTGGTTTGTGGAAGGGGCTGGTCAATCTTCCCTTCATAGATTGCTACTGGCAGAGTAGTGTTATTTGCACTATATGCAGTACGAGATGTAATGCCAAGGAATAGATTAGAACTGTTTCTTCGAATGTTTCACTGTGGTAATAATGAATATATATATATATATATATATATATATATATATATATATATATATATATATATATGCAATCTTTACACTGGAAAGGAAAAGACTGCAGGGAAGACTGTGGCCACGAGATCCGTAATGGAGCTGTGTGAGCCCTATTTACACTTCGGTAGAATACTCACTGTTCATAGCTAGTAGAATAGCGTTTATTTGGAGAAAGAACTTATGAAAGCAGGTACTCACTTAGTGGGTACATTGCAAAGCAATAGGAAAGGCGATCTGAAGAATGCCATAAAAAAGGAACTCAAAAAAAGGTGAACAATATGCACAGGAGAGCGATAGTAACGTTGTTCTCAGTTCATTAATTTTTAATATAATTAGATGATAAATTAGCATAAACTATTGTCAAAAGGATTAACATAGTTTTAATTTTCAACATTTTACAGTGGAAACAGGTTTCAATTAAAAATTAAAATAAAATGGCGTTATCTGAATTATGTTCCTCATGGCGTCAGATAGCAAATGCATCATAAGTGTCACAAGGGTCACATCCAACCCTCACCCACCCACACTGAAATTAATGATGCCAAATATTAAGTATACGAAAATTATAGTAATATACATAAAAGAAAACAGCAAAATACCATGTAAAAAATTACAGATGCCACAGAACAGAACACGCAAAATACCTTATCAGTCAACGTGTTATAGAACTTTATAAACATTCAGTACAATATTATTATTTTGTATTGTGCCATATGTCAGTGTTTTGCTCCTGAAAATGATTATTTATTCAATTATTGGAAAATTATTCATATACTC